TTTTATTTTGGGGGTTTAAAAACAGGCGATCTCTTCCTGAGATATTTCTCCTTAAATGAGCAAATGAAAGCAGCTAGGGAGGATGAGATCTGAAAGGTTTTTTTGGGTCAGAGGCTTATGAAATAACCAGCAGCTCTTACATCTGATTGGTTGAGAAGTTGTTTGGGGTCCTGGGCTTGGCCATTTATTCCTCAGAAATGTGTAAAGCTTCAAGTTAAATTTTATGGTGTTGCTTGTCTTCTTCTAAAAAGGGACATTTGCAGGATAACCTTAATGACCCAAACCATACTGAAAAGGGTGCTTTTGTGTCCAGGCTCTGGCTGGGTATCACCAAGTAAAACTTTGTCGTATTAAGTGCTCACAGAATTCCTTACTCACCCGCCGGGCCTTCTTCAGTGGCTCAAGAACCCGTGCCTCGCTGCTATAAACATCTGAGGGTGAATGGGAAGGTGTGCAGACTATGTGTGCCTGGACTGATAAGAGAGCAAGGCTTTCTGTCTGCCAGAAAACTTTCAGGAAATGGTAGTTTGACTTTCCAGTGCCATCACCTGCTTTCAGTTTATAGTTTATTGCCTTTCAAATACTTGGTTTTAGGCCATTTTTAGCTGAAAATAAAGAACAGGGGGATAAAATTACTTATTTTAGCAAATATGGGATGCTATTAGCAACTTGGGTGGTGTCAGCCCAGCAACAGGATGGTGTTTAAAATGCCTTATCAGCACTTCACGGGGCTCAAGATGACATTGCCACCCCAAAGACATCTGTGCTTATTCTGAAATGCCCTCAGATGCAGCTGTTGTGTGGCTGCACACCCGTTGTCCGGAGTTTCTGTATTTCTGTGCCAAGCCTTTAGCTGGGGAACCAACCTAACTGGCAAAACAGGAATGTAACAAATGATCCCTGTGATATGAGTCATATTAACTATTTATATGGAAGAGGTTGCTAAGACATTACAGGAAGCCCAGGCATGAGGTACCCTGCTGGGACACGTCTTATTAAATTAGATCGACATCTGTAACTTGTAATTGACAACCTGCTCTCATATATGCAGTTCTGAATTTCAGGTGATAGTCAAATTGAACTTTTAAAACTGTCTTGGCCTTAGAGTGGCTCCATCAGGGCTGCTAGAGTTAAAAAACACAGCAGATACAAGCTGACCAGTTGAGGAAGACACATTTTCTTCCTAGAGGAACTGTTAGCTTTGTTCTCTCTTAGGGGGGAAAAAAAGAGTTTTACTTTGCAACTTAACAATTGAACATTTGCAGGGGGACATTCATTTAATTTTTAGCAAGATTCAGCTATTATCATAAAAAAAAAGAAACAATCAGCAAGGTCCATGTTTGTTGTTTTAACAGACTTTACCACAGTAGAAAATAGTAGACTTGGAAAAGGCAAGGGCCAAGCTTTCCAAGCATAATTCACTTGAGCTGTTTCTGACAATGCTTGCAAATGGAATTTTCTGTTAAGGATTGGCATAACGTATTAATACATTTGAATCAATATACCACCTAGAGGCAAACTTGTGCAAAATTATTCACTCTACTAGTTGTCAAATAACGATGTAAATGTTGTTGATCTTGAGAGCGTATCAGGCAGCTCCACTCAGTGACTCAGCAGTGTAAACTGAGCCCATACCGTGTATCAGGCTAAGGACTTGGGATATAAAAATGAGAAAGACATGTCCCCTGCCCTCAGTAGGGTTACAGTCTAGATGTGTGTATGGGCGAGGCAGGCACACAGGCAGTCATAATACACTCTGGGAAGGACAGTATTATTAAAATACTGAGAGTTGAAGCTCAGAGTCAACCTGCTATTTCTAACTAAATGCCACCATTTAATTTTAAGCAGCTCAGACCTCAATTTACTTAAATCAGTTGTCTGAAGAAAACTGACTCATAAAGTATTTGGCTCATATTTCGGCTGTCTGTGATCCTTATCATCCCGTGCCTTGATTGTGTCTGAAGGCCCCTGCCGCGCGGGACCCTGCAGACCAGGGCTCGCTTGCCATTAGTGCTTAGAAGTTGTGACTGTGCCTGGAGGCTGCATACACCCTAGGATATTGGCATCATCGTAGGCTTCCCTGCAGTGATCTTCACTAGAGAGGATTTAGAATAAGCCAGGTATTTGAATAAGATAGCATTTTTCACCTACTTTCTTCTGTAACGGGAGTTTGCAAACTTTTTCTGTAAAGTGCCAGATAGTAAATATTTCAGGCTTGGCAGGCCGTACATTCCTGTTGCACATCCTCAACCCTACCATTGTAGCAGGAAAGCAGCTCCAGACATCACATAAACAAATGGGCGTGACTACATTCCAATAAAACTTTATTTACAAAGACAGGGGGTGGGCCAGCTTTGGCCCTAGGGCCATAGTTTGCTGACCTTTGCTCTGTAAGCAACACTGTTTTTCGTCTGGATGAATATTTAAAATTCACTGAAGGGTGGGCTGTAAGGAGTAAACCTGGGGCGAGGAAACCTGTGGCAAGGCCTGGATCTTCCACTGCAGCTTTTATTTGATGCAAGTTAGTGATTTCCTTCAGCCTCCGTCTTCTCCTCAGTGAAATGAGGGGATAGACAAAATGACTTCTCAGATGCCTTTGGCTGGCATTCTTTGTTTCCTGAAAGACACAGAGGTCTGCTGAGGAAATTCCCCATTGATAGGAAATTTAGAGAGATGTTTTGCATCCACAGGGACCCAGGTTGTCTAGAATCAAGGACTAAGGCTCACAAAGTGAAATTTTCTAGGGCAAAGTATAACATCTAGCACTTGGGTGTTAAAAAGCTACATCGACCTGCAGACAGAATGGGAGAGTCTAGGTTAAAGGTGCAGCATAGGTGAAAGGTTTGGTCTGATGACTAGCTCATTATGAGTCAACTAAGTGACTGCCCCACAGGGCAGGGTGACTTTAAACTGCTTTAGTGGAGAAAAGCATCCAGGAAGAGAGGGCAAGAGCCCTTTCTAAGTTTTGTGCTGATGAGACCACACCTCGAGTGTTGTGATCAGTCTCAGACACCACCCCTTAGGTCAGACTTTGACACCTGGAGACTGTCCAGAGCAGAGGACAGCATGGCGAGGGACTTGCCTACCCTGCCGTTAAGAGGCAGTTAAAGAAGTGACAATGCTCAGGAGTGGGGAGGGGGCAGGAGGGGACAGAGGCCAGGGATATGGAAACTGCTGAGCTTAGAGTTCTTGGAGAAAATGACTTTTGAAAAAACGTCACATCTTTACCATCTAGATGAGTACCCGGAACGTAATAGGCACTCAGATATTTGCTTGAAGAAAGCCGCTAGGTATGTGAAGAATGTTCAAGTGGAAGAAGTATTCTCCTTGTTCTTGGTGGTGTCAGAGAGCAGAACTAGAACAGTGGAAGGAAGCCACCGGAAGCTGTCTTGGTCTCAGCACAAGGAGGGGGGCAGTCCACGTCACTGCACCCGGGAGGCAGCCGGATGCTGCTTTGGGAGCCCCCAGGGTAATCTGCGCATAGTCCCATGGCTCCTGGTGACCACCTGATAGCCACATGATATTCAGCTGCCCCGAGGGCAGTTCCGACGGTCACCTTAAGTGCTCTTTGGCCCTAAGAGTCTGCTGTGTTTGCATTTTTGTACACGTAGGTTTCTTGTCAGTCTGCACAAAGTGCAGTGTGGACTGGCGAGGTGTGAGGTGGTTGTAGCTGCCACACAGACTGGAACATTTTTTTGTTTTAATGTTTGTAAAGTGAGCATGTCATCATTTCATAAATGTTGTGTAAGACAAGGCTACATTGGAAAGCAAGAAATTCAAAGTATTAAATAAACAACAGTGTATGTATATTCAGATATGGTGAAACGAGAAAGCAGTCTGTGGATAGCTGCTCTAAGTAAACTCTACAGAACTCTCAACTAAGACGAATAAAGGCCCTTTCATTTTTCTTACTAGTCCTTCAGCTCCCTCTTCCACCTTTAATAGGATCCTTTTCTCTATCACACAGTCTCATCACTGCACAAAACTCAGATGATTTCATTTTTTATATATTAAAAAAAATACAATAATGTCCATGAAGGAAATTCCATAAGAAGAAAAAAATAGGATGAACAAAGGAAGTCTTATAAAATCCTTCCACCCCAACTTATCTGTTGCTTTCATTCCCCCTTTAGAATTTTTTCCTGTCTTTGAGCCCATGCGTAAACTTTCTATCATAGAGTAGTTGCACTTAGTATTTTTCATTTTAAATTGAGCATATCACATTGTTTTATTGCAAACCTCTCTTTTGACTCCTTTTTTTGCTCTCAGCATTGTTGGCCACTTGACATTCCTCAAACCTAACACACTCATTTCTCAGATTTTACTTTGACCCTGATGTCTTGGTAAGTAAAATGGAATTTGCACTGCAGTTCAGGTGCTGGAGTTTCAGCCTCCCCTCCGAATGCCTTCCTGAGAAAGCTTTAGACACCCTCATTTTTCCTGTCTATAATTTTCCCTGGGGTTTTATAATTTAAAGTTTTCCCTTAACCCCATCATTCCATTTTTTGCCTCTGATCTCCCTAGGAGGCCTTGTAACAACCTCCCATCAATTCACTAAGTCTCTCCCTTCCCCATTTAAAAGTGTTTCAGAAATCCACGAGGACTCCAGGTCCCATGGGTGTGGGTAGCTGATGTCCTCTTAAATAACGCATTCCCGTTGTGCTGCCTCTCCCCATAACCTGGCTCCAGGCATTTAAATTATTTACCTTTTAATGCATATTTATACAATCAGATTACTAGGATATAGCCTATTTCATCCGTTATCTGCTGTGTAGCTTTAGTTTTGAATATGCTCCGTATACATGTCCATTATACTCTCCTGGGTCAAAACATGGATGAGATGAAGAATCATGATCATTCAGTTTGTTTTGGACAATCCTGGTGGTGAATAATTAGACTGGTAATGAGTGTTCTACATAGAAAGTTGAGGTCTGTAGAAAATGTGCCTGATAAATACAAAAAAATAATAACTGGTTGTTCTTTCTGTGGATGTTTTAAAGGCTGGATTACAGTGGACCTTCCAGAGAGTTTTTCTTCCTCGTATCCAGAGAACTCTTTAACCCGTACTATGGCTTATTTGAATATTCAGCCAATGACACATACACAGTACAAATAAGCCCCATGTCTGCCTTTGTAGACAATCACCATGAGTGGTAAGTATTTCTCCCTGGCACTTTTCTTAGCTGCTTTTCTGTGATATTAGTTTTTATGGGAACCCCCACTTTTTTTTTAAACAGTTTTTTTCCTTGGAGAATATCAGATTTTCAGTTAAACATTTCATTTGACTCTTGTCGGTATTGTCAGATTTAATATACAGACAAGTCTCCGAGCTAGGAATAGACTATGTTCCATAAGGCCAATGTTAAGTGAGTCGAGTAGAATTCAAAAGGGTTTTCCCATTGAAAGGAAGCTGCAGACAAAGTCCCTGGCAAGACCCTAAATCCCTCCGTGCAGCTTTAGGCAACCCTGAGCTCTGGGGTGTGGGTGGGTAGGGGAAGGTCCTGACCCAGGGGCCAGGCGGCTTCTAGAGCAGCCTCTGGGGAAGTGGCTAACACTGAGGGAGGAGCAGAGCAGCTGGCCGCCCGGTCTAAGTATTGGTATTCCAGTGGGAGGGAGGGAGGGGTGACCCGGAGGAACTGATGGCAGAAGGGAACCCTGGCAGGCAGGCAGGAGTGTGGAGTCCCAGCAGCTGGCCACTTACCCTCATGACCACTTGAAGTTTTGTAGCCAGGAATTGCCCCTTTCCTAATTTTTCACACAAAATCAAGGAAAACTGGTGTAAGATTCCCATCTGGGAATTGTTTATTCTGAAAATCCCAAATTGCATTCTTTCCATTAACATTTTTTTTACATCCTTGCATTCATAGACTTGCAGTGTCTTCATAACCCCTGTTTGCTTGTTCCTGTTCATTTTCACTATAGCAACAACAACAACAACAACAAAACGCCCATGAGTAGGACTCATGGAAAAAATTTCTTCAAATCATGGGGTTAATATTTGTGGGTGGAGGGCATTAAGTTTTAGGACTTAGTCTTCAAGTGAACTTCCGTTTAACTATGATTTGGAGTCCTCCTAAATGTAGCTGTTGCAGTTATGCTAACAAAAGTGGAAATAAAGGAAAACAAAACTGCAAGACATCGATCTTAAAATGGTTGCCTAACACTAAGATTGCAGGTGGACAGTAGGAACCTCCATGTGGATTTACACTTTTGGAAGGCATCAGACTTTCAAAGAGCTAGAAACTTGGACACTTGTGAAAAAGAAAATACATGCGCGTCTCAGCTGGCAGATCCAGTCATTTAGCAAAGATAAGTTTCCGAAGTGATTCAGAATAGGATTGATCACTGAAATTTTAGAGAACAGAATGTCGCAGGGGGAAACTCTGTCAAGTGTACACATGCATAATTCTTGGATGGTGATGGTCTCCTCCAGAGTGGGGTCTGAGAGAGAATGGGAACAGGAACTTTCTCACTCTGAGATTGAACTTCTCCCCAAAAGGGAATTGCTCCTAGCTTTGCAGTAGAGAAATCTTGCTAATATTCATGCAAGCAAACCCTCAGGGGATATTTTCCCCGCCACTGCTGGTCTCATTCTGTCATCATTTCTTAGAAGTGATTTGGGGAAATTTCACTGACATGCTAACAGGGAAATCACATTGGCCACACAGGTTGCTACAGGGTGGACGTTGCTGACATGGGGTGAAGGTAGAACAGTATCTCTCACAACATCAGAGTGAAACAGGTTGCCTCATAGGCAATTAATATTGGACAAACTCAGGTGGCTAGAGCTGGAAGGCATTCTAGAAAGCAGATACAACCATGCGGAATCTGCTCCATGACGTGTGAGCTGTCTCTTGCTTTTCCTTCACAGGTTCCGGTTCAGTGGTAGGATCCTTGGTCTTGCACTAATTCACCAGTATTTGCTGGATGCCTTCTTCACACGGCCCTTTTATAAGGCTCTTCTCAGAATGTAAGAGTATTTTTGTGGCTTGTATAATTAGCATGTTAAGAATGTAATATTTCCTTTATCAAAAAGGGTCTTTTGTCATTGTCAATTATCTGCTCACTGTCTCAAATTGGTTATTAGTAAACAATAGTGGGTTTAGATTATTAAAATGAATATGGTTTCAAATGCAATTACTGAGTTTTTTCTCTCTCTGAACCTTTATTCCTGTCTGACCTCCAAAGCCTTTGTTTTGCTTCAGCTCCAAACAATTTATTCTCATTTGTTGCAACACATGTTTCTTCAAAACAATTGTACTTCAAACACAGCACTGGGATTCCTGTGGTATTAATGCCGATTATTAATAGAATAGTTGTGGGTTAGTCTTGGTGACTCACAGGCCCCTGTCCTTTATAAGATGCATTTTACATTTTGCTTTATGCAAACTTTTGGCTGCTTATTCTTGGTTCAAATGTTCATTCTCTTTTGTTTCATTTGTTTGTCTGTTGGAGGTGGGCAGTCTCATATTTTTCTTGAGACCTCTTTATATGCAAGACAGTAATTTATGATGGCAGATGAAAACTTACCATTCACAGAACTTCTTCTTCGTTGTTATCACAATGGAAGATTGCGATGATTGTAAAATGTAAAGCAGACAGTTTCTCTCCTATAATCGGCAGTTATTTACAAGGCCGAACGGGAGAATGCGGCTGTCTGTGGGGGTAGCCGCTCACACTTGCAATGAGAAAACACAGAATGACTGCATGGTCCTGTCCAGCTCGTTCCCTAACCGAAGCCATGCATCTGCTATCTGTAAGATGGAGCCTAGACCTCAAATGAAAACAAAGTATTTCTAATGGGCTTTTAAAGAGGGTTAGTAGTAAGCATCTACCATCCTCCCTTTTCGGTTCTGGGCCAGTGGAGCCCTGGGCAACTGGGCACTGACCTTCTGCCTCTCTGGTTCTTCTTGGCCCATTTGCGTCTTCACATGTCATTGCCTTATTATTTCTCATCTTCCCATTTAAGCTTCCTGAGAGAGCAGTCTATATTGACTGCTGACATACCCTCAGCACACTTTAGCCTGGCTTTTTCCCCGCCAGTAAACTAGGGAAGCTTTTACTTTATTTTATTTTATTTTATTTTATTTTTAATTTTTAATTGAAATACAGTTGATTTATAATATTGTGTTAGTTTTAGGGAAGCTTTTAAAGAAGCTTTTCCGTTTTCATCTTAATGGACCATTCTGTTGCTTTCGCTTCTGTTGACGCTCCAACCCCCATCCATTTCTCTTGAGTCTTTCCATCACGACGTCCATGACACTGTCCTCTCCTGGTTCTCCTTTCACTTTTATGCCTCCTCAGTGGGCTTCTCCTCTGACTTGCCCTTAAACCTCGATGTTCCTGAAGCTTCCATTCTTCGCCCCTGCTTTTCTCTCTGTGTGCTCTCATGGGAAATCTCTACACCTGTCTCATGTCCTACTGACTCTCCAATCTGGATCCTAAGATTGGATCCCCCTTGAATTATGGGCTCAAGTGGTCAACACTGAAAGTTCCCTCCTGTATGTCTCACAGGCACCTCAAAAACCAACATGGTTAAAACTAAACTCATCAATTTCTCCTGACCTAATAATGTACCTTCTCCCCTGTGCCCGGTCATGGCTCATGGTGCAGACACTCTCAAGTCAACTCTGGTCAGAGACTGGGGGACACCCTCCCAACAGGGATGCTAAATACACAGTGCCCATTCTGCTCTTCCCCACCTCCCACTTCACCCCATTCCCATGGTATGGGTCACACATCATTTATGGTACTTTTTCCTGCTGAACTCGTTGTGGCCTCAAGAATTTTTCCAATTCATGGCCCTCAAGACTGCCACTTAATCAGAGTTGGCTTGTAACATGGGTTCATTGGCCACCCCTATTTTT